CTGCTGCCCTGTGAGGCTCCAAGGCACCTTGTCACCTCCATGGCTGGGACTCTCATCTGCCCATGTCATAATTCTCCCATAGACATGTTACATCTGGGGGATGTAACTGGGGGAAAGACTTGAAGCAGTTAGCCATCTGGGAGAAGCCTACCGTCAAATGGGGCATCCTGCCACACTGAGCACAGCTGCCTCTCAGGGATGGTAGGCCTGGGGCTTCAGTTCCAAAGCTGTAGTATGGGACCAGGAGTTAGTCTGCAGTGGGGATGAGGGACATAACTCAAGGCCAGGCACAGACATTTGAGGCACTGACCTATACAGGGTCTTCATTCATCCATCCATCCATTGGTTCATCTGTTTGTATATTTAGAAATTCTATTCAGTGCCTGCTGCTTGCCGGTACTCTTCCAGCCCAAGGATACAGCCAACCAACATCGCTGCCCTCACAGAGACTCCATTCTAGTAGGAGAGACAGACAGTGAAAAACTTTTTTTGTGTTTTTTTTTTAGAGATAGGGTCTTGCTATGTTGCCCAGGGGGGCTGGACTCAAACTCCTGGGTCAAACGATCCTCCCACCGCAGCCTCCAGTAGCTGGGACTACAGGCATATGCTACTGTGCCTGAGCAGACAATATTTTAAAAAGAACATGCTATAACACATGAATGAACCCATAAGACATGCTTGGTGAAAGACACCGGACACAAAAGGATAAATACTATATGATTCCACTTACCATGATTATATGATGAGGTCCCTAGAGTTGTCAAATGCACAGTGACAGACAGTAGAACAGGCTGGTGAAGGGGGAATGGGGAGTTAGTGTTGAATGCATAGAGAGTTCAGTTGAGGAAGGTGAGTTGGTTCTGGAGAAGGATGGTGGGGATGTTGCACAACAATGTGAATGTGCTTAATGCCATGGAACCGTGCACTTGGGAGTGGCTAAGATGGGTCAGGCATGGTGGCCACGCCTATAATCCCAGCACTTTCGGAGGCCAAGGCAGGCGGATCAGTTGAGGTCAGGAGTTTGAGACCAGCCTGACCAACATGGTGAAACCCCGTCTTACTAAAAATATAAAAATTAGCCGGGCATGGTGGTGGGCGCCCGTAATCCCAGCTACTTGGAGGCTGAGGCAGGAGAATCGCTTGAACTGGGAGGCAGAGGTTGCAGTGAGCTAAGATCGTGCCACTGCACTCTAACCTGGGCAAGACTCTGTCTCAAAAAAACAAAAATAAAGAAGTGGCTAAGATGGTAAATTTTATGTTACATGTATTTTACCACAATTTTTAAAATAAGAAGGAAAGAAGAAAGAAAACTAAGTCAGGTACCAGATAACGATCAACGCTCTGAAGAAAATTAGAAAGGGTCAGAGGAATGCCAGGGTTAGAGTCAGGGCCAAGTTTTACATCAGGGTGTCAAGGAAGGCCTTAGTGAGAAGAGGCCCTTGACCAGAGGGGAGGGAGAGTGGCAAGTCCAGATGCCCCAAGGCGGGAACTTGCCCACGGCCTTGCCAGGGCAGAGAGGTAGCAGGGCAGAGCCTGTAGGACCTCACTCTGAGAGGGTGGAGAGAGGCCATTCAGGGCTTTGAGCATGTCCTGGTCCTTCTGGCCAGTCTTTTGAGGGAGCCAGGAGAAGGCTTTGCAGGGTGGGGGTACAGGCCCATCTTCAGCTGCAGCTCCCACCTCTGCGTGACTCCTACCTGTATGTGGGCTCAGCACAGCAGGAGTTAATGATGCTTTACTTAGTGGTTGTGTTTAAATTTTTCCTGTTTTTCTGGAGTCTCCACTACCCCTCCTTTCCCAGCTTTGGTGGGTTCAGGTGGGTCTGGGACAAAAGAGGGATGGCTTGCTCAGTCTTCAGTCCCTGATATCTGGGCTTTGAAGCCACACAGCTGTAGAGAAGCAGACAGACTTTTGCCTACCCAGCAAGGGTGCACAGTGCCCTCTGCCCCTGGGTCTGCTCCCGAGGCTCCTGCAGGGCCAGCTCAGTGGGGTCAGGACTGTGGGCTTCAGACCCTGCCCTGTTGGAGAAGTTACTTCCATTTCTTTCTTTTTTTTTTTTTTTTTTTTGCCCAGGCTGGAGTGCAATGGCGTGATCTCGGCTCACTGCAAGCTCCGCCTCCAGGGTTCATGCCATTCGCCTGCCTCAGCCTCCCGAGTAGCTGGGACTACAGATGCCCACCACCTGGCTAATTTTTTTTTTGTATTTCTTAGTAGAGACGGGGTTTCACCGTGTTAGCCAGGATGGTCTCGATCTCCTGACCCCGTGATCCACCCACCTCAGCCTCCCAAAGTGCTGGGATTACAGGTGTGAGCCACCGCGCCCAGCCGTTACTTCCCTTTCTGAGTCTGAATTTTTGCCTCTGCAAAGTGAGAGGGCTGGGTGGCAGTCAGGTCTGGATTCTTGTCCTGACGCTCCCTTTCAGAGGAGCCTGAGAGAGCAGCTTCTTGGCTATGCGAAGCTTTCCCTGAGTGCCTAGCTCCACAGCCTAGCTGAGAACCAAGGCCCTCTGTACATCTCCTCAGGGGTCTCTGCCACCACATGAGGGATTGAGGGGGGACATGTTCCAATTTTACAGCCCTTGCCCAGACATTCCAGGGATAACCTCAAGAGTTGCTAGGGGAAACAGCAGTTGGGGGGTTCTAGAACAGGGCAGAGGAGAGGCCAGACCCACGTCATTATGGAGTCTATGGTGCCCACTCCCCAGTTGGTGTCTGTGCTGTTCCCTGAGAGCCCCACCATCCACCTTCTGTCCTTTTAGAGGTGCCTTTGGAGCTGGGCTGTGGACAGAGCCTGCTCCCCTGCCCAGACACTGTGGGGTAAGTAGGAGAGGAGGGGTTAAGGGAAGAGATCAGGAGCTAGGCCTGGGCCTGGACCATGCGTCCTTTCACACTTGTCATCTCTTCAGGCCTTAGAACTGACCACCAGTCTCGTGTGACTATTTAAGTTCAATTATCAATTAAAGTGAAATAAAATGGAAAAATTCTATTCCCCTCTCCCACTCATCACATTTCAGGTGCTCGGTAGCCACCTGGGGACAGTGGCAGGTCACTGTGGCTGCACTGGACAGCGCAGGTGTGTAACATGTTCGTCATTGGGGAAAGTTCTACTGGGCAGCGCCAGCCTCGTCTCTAGAGCAACCCCATGGGGTAGAGATTGTTGCCCCATTTCACAGCTGAACAAGCTAAAGCTCAGAGAGGGGTGATGACTGGCTAGTCACATAGTCAGTGAGTGCCAGTGGTCCTGGCACTGGGTTCATTTGGTCTCAAAGCATGAGTGTGGGGTTGGCACATGCACGTTTCTCCCTGCCCATCTGACTGCTTGCCTGGGACGGGATGGAGGAGGCTGGAGGCCCACTTGCGGGCTACACACAGGCTTTTAGGATCTCTGCATTGGGCCCCAGGGCCAGCCGGAGCCTCCCTTACTTGGTCACCCATGGGGAGCATTGCTTTAGTGGAAAGGCAGGGTGAGGTGAGCACTCACTTTGGGGCCTCTGGGCCTGCAACGTTGGGAACAAATCCCTTAGGAGGGGCTCTAGGACATTTCACTGGGCTCTGAAGACTTCATTTTAAAAGTGAGAAGCTGAGCACAGTGGCGTGACCCTGGCCTGTAGTCCCAGATACTCAGGAGACTGAGGTGGGAGGATCACTTGAATCCAGGAGGTTGAGGCTGTAGTAACCTATAAATCACACTAACTGCACTCCAGCCTGGGCCAACAGAGGCGAGACCCCTGTCTCCTTTAAAAAATAAATGTGACAGGGCCGGGCGCGGTGGCCCTCAAGAACCTGTAATTGCGCCAGCACTTTGGGAGGGCCGAGACGGTCGGGCCGGATCACGAGGTCAGAGAGATCGAGAACCCATCCCTGGCTAACACGTGAAACCCCGTCTGCTATTAAGGAAATACAAAAAACTAAGCTGGCGAGGTGGCGGCAGCCGTATCCCAGCTACTCGGCAGGCTGAGGCCACGAGAATGGCCGTGAACCCGGGAGTCGGAGCTTGCTGCAGTTGAGCTGAGACGGCCACCGCGCACGCTCCCAGCCTGGTGATGACAAGGCGAGACTCCCGTCTCAAAAAAAAAAAAACAAAAATGTGACAACAAGATACGCTAAAGTGGAAAAACCCGCTCACACCGTCCTTGGTGTATGGATAATGCATACAAGCTGAATGTGGTCCCCATCCATGTACTGGGGGTACAATTCAGTCATAAGAACAGAATGAAGAATGACACACGCCCCAACATGGATGGGACGCTGTTGAAAACACGGATACTGAGTGAAAGAAGCCAGACCACAGAAGGGCCAGTAGTTTATCGAGTCTGGTTTATATGGAAATAGTCCAGGAATAGGCAAATTCATTTAGAGACCAAACAGTAAGATTGTTTGTTGACAGAGCCTGAGGGAGGAGGGGGACTGGAGAGAGACTGCTAATGGGTCTCCTTTGGGTTGTTGAAACTCTGGAACTAGGTAGAGGTGGTGGTTGTCACAACATTGTGAAATATACTCAGAATGCCACTGAAGTGAACACTTTAAAATGGTTAAAATGGTAATTTTGTGTTATATGTATTTTACTGCAATAAAAAAGTGAGAAGAAGCGGTAGAATCTAGATGGTGAATATATGGATGTTCATTAATAAATGTTTTCAACTTTGCCATATGCTTGAACACTTTCATCATAAACACCGAGAGAGAGGCCGGGCCCACGGTGGCTCATGCCTGTAACTCCCAGTACTTTGGGAGGCTGAGATGGGGCGATCACCGGAGGTCAGAGAGTTCAAGACCAGCCTGGCCAACATGGTGAAACCTGTCTCTATCTAAAAATACAACAAAAAATGAGCCGAGCCGCGGTGGTGGGCGCCTATAATCCCAGCTACTTGGGCTGAGGCAGGAGAATTGCTTTGAGCCCAGGACGTGGAGGTTGCAGTGAACTGTGATCACACTACTGCACTCCAGCCTCTGTCTCAAAAAATAAAATAAAATAAAATAAAAAATAAAAAATAAAAAGAAATGAAATAAAACACTGAGGGAGAAAGTGACAGGATTGGGCTGCCCCCCAACTCAGATGTCTCTGTGTCAGGGCAGCCGGGTCTGGTAGGCTCTGGTGCCGGCTGCAAGCCTGCTAGAGTCTTAGTCCTGAGGGATCTGCCAAGTGATCAGGGAGAGATAGGAGGCTGGGGGATGCTTCTACTGTGCTCCCAGCCCTAAGGAGACCACAGCTCCTGAGATGGACCCAGGACAGCACTAGTGCCTGCCCTGAGCCTTCCCCAAGTCCTGCCTTGTCTAAGTGCCTGGGAGTGCCGCTTGGTAGAACGTGGTAGCATCTCTGTCTGTAACAAGGAGATAGAAGCTCAAAGAAGTGACCAGACTTGTCCCTGGTCCTGTGATCTCCAAGGAGAGAAACTGAGACCCCACTGAGGTCTCGTGGCTCTCTCTCCAGCCCCATTTCACTTCTCCCAGTATGAGTGGGGCCAGGTGGTTGAAGCCAGTATTGAAGCTGGGACGTGGGCAGCTGCAGCAGTGAGGCTGGCACAGGCGTGATGGGAGACGCCACCCAGCATGGGGAGCCTGGGAGTTCCCATCCACCTGCCGGTGTGTCCAGGAGAGCCCCCTCCCCCTGCTGTGCCCAGCAGCCTCCCTTCTCCTCTGCTTCCCACATGGGTGGCACTGGGCCATCGGAGCCCTTCCATAGGTGGGTATCCCCTCATCCCTGAGGGTGGGAAGATATGACTCAGGATTTGGCAACAGAGTTTTAGAAACAGGGAGGCTGGGCAGGTGGAAATCTGCAATGCCTCCCCAAACACCAGGTAACACCTAAGCCTGGGGAGAGGGTCACTTTACTCTCTGGGGTCCCGACTTCAGGCTCTGACTGGGCAGCGTGGCATGAGACGGAGGGCCCAGGCTCTTGGGGCAGCGGAGCACCACGGGCCAGGAGAGAAAGCCCCCATCTCCACCCTTTTCCTTGGCGTGGTGGCCACCAGCTGCTGCTTTTGCCCGCTGGTCCGGCCAGTACCCCTCCCCGCCTGGCCACCTGAACCCTGAGGCCTGGTATGGGGGAGGCTGCAGCAGCAGAACTGTTGGATTGGCTCTCTGCTGATGCCTTCCCTCCGACATATGGCTCCTCCGCCTGCCTTGGGCTCTGCCAGCGGCTCCCCTTTCTCCATGGCAACTCAGCTCAGTGGTCCCAGTGGAGGAGAGAAAATCAATTCTCCCTCCTTCCCGCCCTCCCTCTCCACTCCCCACCCCTTCCTCTCCGGCCTGCCTTTCTCCCTTCCTCCAGCATCCCTGACCAGGCTCGCAGCTCCTCCGTCCACCCGTCCCGGGGACACGCGTGCTCCTCAGCGTCCTCTGTCTCTAGGCATGGGCTGCTGGGAGAGCCGTGCGCTGGGGGCGGCCCCCTGAGGCTGGCAGCATGGGGAGCTCAGTGGACCTCTGCAGGGATTGGGGGGCTGCTGTGCGACCCCAGCCCGGCTCCTGTGGTGTGCACCTCCTGGCTCTGATACTTTGTCCCCCCACCCCTTCCCTCACATTGGCTTCCTAAAAGGTAATTTTCTGCTCCTTCTGAAACATGTCACAGCCTCAGGAGGGGTTTATTAGCAAAGAAGGCTCCGTCTGGTCATGCGGGCTGCTTGCATTCTCTCCAAAGAGCTGGGATGGAGGGAGAGAGAGAGGGAGAGGCCTCGACTGGCATGTTCAGAGCTCAGAGGGGGCACAGCAGAGTTTGGGTGCGTGGGGTTCTCCTCTAGGGAGTCTGTGAGTAGCTCGGCTCCTGCCTCCTGGTGCTTGGGTAGGTACAGCACTCCGTTGTACTTCCATTTTCCACTGTGATTGCCATGGAGCATAGAAAATCTGCTTTCCTGGACTGTGGTTGGACCAAGGAGAGGGGAGGAAATTTAGAGGCATGCACGTGCGCCCTAGATGGGGCAGGGCTCTGGAGTGGTGATTGTTGGCCACAGATTGGCTATCTCTCCAGACAATCCTTCATTGTCTGAAAATGAGAGTTCAGTGAGGAAATGTTTTGTCCCTCCCCACCCCGATACCAAGGGTTGCCCCTCCCCACCCCGATATCCCCCATAATCAAGATTTCCAAGAAGGTGGTGTAGGGAGGATCGTTTGCCGGCTGGCTTCAGGCACAGTGGCCCTGCAAGTGTGTCTGTCTGGATAGCACCATCTGTTTGGGACAGCCCCTCGGCACAGTTTGGTTCAGGCAGGATTTCAAACCTGCTACCCAGTGGGTCAACATTCTGCATCGTTTCTTCCCCATCCCCAGTAGATGCATTCAGAATGACTCTTAAATGGCTTTCCCAGAGGGAATCTGTGAGGCTAACCCCTCAGCAGCACAGCCTGGGAGACACACTCCGACCCATGCCTGGCATAGGCAGCTCCCACCGTGACTTCTGCTTCCTGTGCAGCAGGCAATGGAAAAAAGAACCCCTGGTTGTCAACGAGAACAGCTCCCGTGTTGATGGAAAGTGAGGGCCGAAGAAACCGGATTTAGCACCCAGTTCTTAGAAGTCATGGGTTTGAATGGTGTCTGAGAGTAAGCCCTGTCTGATCTTTAAATAGAAAGTGTACACCAAGTAGCCCCATCTGACTCACCAGGGAGCTTCAAAGTTCAGGTACCAGGGAACCCATAGTCAACTCTGAAAGAGGCACCCAACTTGGAGGGCTGACTGCAGAGAAGTCTAGACGTTCAGGTATGTGTCTGTGCCTCAGGGTGCAGTGGATTCAGGGTGGGACCAGAGTTGGTTCACAGAGTGAATAGTTGAATGTAGGACTTCAGCCTCATGAGCACCTGATTGGATTCTGTTTTTTGTTTCAGCATTCTCTCTGTCAGATTGTTTTAATAACAGCATCGGAGCTTCAAAGGTGGCCTGAGACAGGACTCCCTGTGTGGTTCTATGGTTGGGCATCTTTAAACTATGTTTATCTCCCCAAAGCCCTGTTTCTTTAAAGCTGCCTTTGAGCCCCCCAGAGACCCTGAATTCTTGGTGCTTCTCTTTGAGCAATGAGATGGGTTACGACTGGGCAGGATGAGAGGAACGCTTTTGTGTCTGCACAGGTCTGTGCTGTTTCTTCCTCTGCTTTGGGGCTGGAGACTCACCCAGACCCTCTTGGCATCTGGGCAGTGTGCAGGCTTCTTAACGACATTATGGGCATCTGGATTCTGGTTGGTTGCTGAAAATTCTGATGGGTTTACGAGTTATGTGATGGGTGGGGAGGCCATGTGCTAGTTTGGTTTGGTTTGGTTTTGGTTTGCTAGCGAGCGGAAAATCTGATGTGACACCTTAAAGGCCAGCCCACTAGTGGCAGCACCCGATCCTCATCTCTGCTCTCAGCCTCTATGGGAGGCACCTGGCCCTGTCATTCCAGCTGGGCTTCCTCTGCCCTGGGGGTTTTCATGTGAGCCCAGAGCAATGCAAGTGTGTGTTCAGTCGGCAAGCCCAAAAGTCAAAAGAACAGCCAGAGCCAAGCTGGCTTTTGAGGAGAGAGCCCGGCTCCTCCAGCCTAGCTGCATTTGCCTGAGGTAGATCCTGAGTGCTCTGCCCCGGCCTCTCCGCCCTCCTGTGTGCTTCCTCAGCGGCTGCTCTGAAGTGTCATTTCACGTAGTGGTGACTTAACTTGAAAGGAGCCGCAGGGGGCGTGAGAGCAGCTTGGAGAGGTGGGAGCCTGGGCTGCCGATGGCTCCAGCCCATGAAAGTGTGGAAAGCTCATTCCAGGAAAATTGGAATAATCACTGCATTGGCTGGCTTTCAGGCGGTGAGTGGTTCTTTCTTTAATTTGAGAGGAGCTCTGGGATTAGGGAAGGGTGTGGTGGGAAACCCTGTGGTTCAGACAGACCTCACGAAGCCAGTGAAGATCCCAGGAGAAAGTCTGATTTATTTTCCCCTGGACTGGCTCGCAGCATGGTGGGGTCCACCACCCAGGCTGTGCTGGGCAGGACAGGCAGCTCTGATGTGGGTCAGAGATTCTGAGACTCAGAACATCTGCCTTGGCCCCCCGCCCAGCCTGTGCCTAGCTTTGAAAAAGTCTGTTGGTGGTGTTGCATGATAACTTAAACTGCGGGAAGAGAGAAGCTCATGAACATTAAACTCTCCCCCAGTCTCTCTTGTGAGTTTCCTGAACACACACATACTTATACATGCACATATACGCCCTTGCCCAATTGCGCACATACACAAGTACACATATGCTTGCAGATACACAGCCTCCCCACATGCACACTCACACAAATACATGTGCACATGCCATGCAGGCACACACATGCAACTCACAAGCTCACACACACATGCACACACACACAAATATGTTTTCCCTGCCTGCTAGCAGGGGTGTACCTACCATTTGGCATTGTTCTCATGCTAACGTGATCCCATGTAAACGGTTCCCAGGATTGGTAAGATCAGACAGCTGTCCTTTTTATGCATCGCTTTAAAGCTCAGTGTCTTACCTGAGTGAGACAACAGTCCCTGTCCACTTCTGGAAAGAGCTGCCTTTGTTCCCTTTTTTCCTCCCTGGTGCTCTGCTGCATGGTCTGGGGTGTTATAGAGATTGGCATGTTTGTGTCTGCAGGGGAGCCTCTGGGTGCTGGCTTTCTGTCCAGGGCTTCTGAGGGCCACCAGCCCAAAGGGAAGGGATTCATCAGAGACTGATAAGCTTAAGGTGTGCTGAGCTGTAAGGCCATGTGTGTGTGTTTGTGTGTGGGGGTGTGTGTGGGTGTATGTGTAGGCATGTGTGTGTCCATGTGAGGTGTGTGATGTGTTTGCATATGCGTGTGTGGTGTGTGCATGTGGGGGGGTGTATATGTGTGTGTTGTGTGTATTTATATGTGCATGTGTGGTATGTTGTGTGTGTGAGGTTGTGTGTGCATGTGTGTGGCATGTATATGTGCCTGTGTGTGCCTGCGGGGTATGTGAGAGTGTGTGCAGTGAGTGTGAATGTGGCATTTGTATTTGGGCATCTTTAGCTTTTCATTCTGTTCCTCCCCATTTTCTGCTTCAATTCCCAGAGCAGGGCTCAGCAAACTCCTTAACCCACATCTGCACTGGGATCTTAAATCCACGTCACAGACACTTTCCCAGGTCTCATCTGATTTAACAGTTTGCAACCACCCTAGAAGTCCTTGGTGTTGTTCCCATTTTACAGAAAAGCAGACCGAGTCTCAGAGGGTTGAGTAGCCTGCCACCTGTGAAGGCAGAACCAGAACTTGGATCCCTGGCTCTTTCACTGCTTCACTCCCTCCCTCCCTCTCCCTCACTCATTTGTTATACATGCAACCTGCTCTGCACCAGGCACGGCTGCTGAGCTCTTGGCCTGAAGACTATATTCAGCCCTTGTCTTTCAGTGGGAGCCCCATATGGGAGGAGGCTGAGGAGGTTGGGTGAGGAGAGCTGGGGGATGCTCACTCTCCCTGCACTCCATGGCCACCCACCTTAGTTGTCTGAGAAGAGAAAAGGAAGGAAGTAGTGAGAAGAAGGAGCAGGCAGCCTGGGGCTGAGCCGGAGGAGAGCCCCCTGCATCTGCCCTACCAGTCACTTGCCCCAGGGCTTCCACCCAGAGTGCATGAGGCCACTCTACACTGTGGAAATCCGGGTCACTCTGATCCTGATCCACTGTTATTCTGCTATAGGAGCAGATTGTCTGTCTCCCTTCCTTTTAAAAATTGCTGTATCATATATCATCAGAAAGATAGTCTGCATCATGGGGTCTACGTGTTTTAGGCTGAGGATTTCAGCATTGGTGGCTCAGGGTAGTAGGAGCAGTACTGCACATGAGGAGATATGTGCCTCAGTTTCCTCATCTGTAACAGGGAGATAACACTGTCTACTTCACGTATCTCAACCCAGAGAACAAGTGTGCCGTGCTTGGAGATGAACCACCTGTGTGGGCAGTGGCAAATGGTAGGCTGTTGTTAGAGACCAAGCATTCCCGTAACTTACTCTTCAATGGGTCAGGAGTGTTTATGCCCAGAGATGCACACAGAGAGCAGGAGAGGCACAGATGCAAGGCAGATGAAACAAAAAGGAAGCAATAGCTGCTTTTGAGCAGAGCGTAGAGGGGAGTTCTTGTGTTAGTTTTGCAATTTTTCTGTAGCTTAGAGACTATATGGAAAATGAAATATAGAAAAAAAAAGAAGATTCATTCATTTAAGAGCTCTTCCTAAGAGGTTGACAGAATATTGATGTAACAAACAGCAGAGGGTTTGTACCTTAATGACCCACGAGAAGCCAAGTGAATAAAACGGAAGCTCCATCCTCATGGAAGCTGGAGACAGCTGGCTATCCCTGAAGGGGACAGGGAGCTCTGGGGAGAGGGGCAGGTGATGGAATCACACCAGCCAAACTCTCAAGAGGCAGGGCTCTCCCTAAACACCAGGCCTCAGAAATCAGGCTTCTTCCCTGATCCCTGTTGGGGCTCCGGATTCTGGCTTGGATGACTTCCCCAGGGCCCTTGCCTGGTGGCCAGAGCCTCTTCTTCCAGAGCTCCAGGTGAGGGAAAGTTGTATCTTATGATGGTTTCCTGACTCGGTGCTGGTTTTATTTG